GTATATGGTTAAAAGTGTAACAAGTGTATGGATGATTATATTTAAAATGAAAAGAATTATGTTGTGTTATACTGAATGGTTATATTAGAGAAACATACTACATGAGAATATAAGGAGGTCGTGACCATGTAGGGGTATGGGATGTTACACTATCAATACCTGACTACATCCCTAAACAATCCCATCCATTAATCATATTAACATAGGATCAAAGCAGTCTTCGCTACAACTATCGTAACTAAACTCATCAATGATTACATATATCAATACAAGCAAATAACATAGATCAAACATGGATGTGCAACATGAAAATTACATGTTATGTTATCTAAGCATGCCTATTTCCAATTGGTTCTGCCATAACTTTAGTGAGATCAACTTTAAGTAAATTTAGAGATAAAATATAAACCAAATCAATATAATTGAAATGAATTACCAAATACATAAACCATATTCATAATATAAAACTCATGACATGTTTGTATTATAAAAGCAACTATGGTACAAAACTTCAATTGAAATTATACATTATCAAAAAATACTACACCCATATGAGCAATGTGCTCATGAAAGACCTTAGGTGGCAATCTTTTAGTAAGTTGATCCGTAACCGTGGAATTTTTTCCGATGTACTATAATAATATCTGTTTACTCTGAACTCTTTCTTTAACAATTAGGAACTTGATATTTATATACTTTGATTTTGATAAGATCCTGTTATTAGAATACATAACTGCGAGCTTATTGTCATAAAATATCTTTAATGGTCTTTCAGCTCCATCTATCATCCGCAACCCAGTGATAAAATTTCACAATCATATTCCCTAACTGGACGCCTCATAATGTGCTATAAATTCTGCTGGTATAGTGGAAGAGGCTATGCGTGTTTGCTTAACACTATTTCTAGAAATAGCTCCCCAACAAATAAGTAAATATAGTCTTATATGGATTTCTTTTATCTTGACATCCGGTGAAATCAGAATCAAAATAACCTATGATCTTTAACTGATTTGATCTCCTGTACATGAGCATGTACTCCTTCGTTCTCTGTAGATACCATATGACGTGTTTGACTACTTTCCAATGATTCATACATGAATTACTAAAATATCTCCCTAGCATCCCAACAGTGTACGCAATACCCAAACGAGTACAAACTTGAGAATACATAAGACTCCTTACAGCTGAAGAATAAGGAATTTTTTGCATTTTCTTAGACTCAAAGTCGTTCTTCAGGGATTGACTTAGAGTAAACTTATCTCCTTTAGACGTAGGGGTCTCACCTGGCTTGCAGTTTTGCATGTTAAATCTTTTAAAAACTTTTTGATATAGCTTTT